GAAACTCAGGACCGTGTAGCCACTTGGAATCTCTTAACTGGGGTACAAGCAGACCTCTCGAGCCTTCATCAGCAGGATTCTCCTTTGATTCCACATGTCTCCATTGTGATGCAGAGGAGTGACGTCGAATCTGATGAACTCTGTTTGCCACAAAGACATGGAAACGTTTCTCTGAGTTCTTGATATACCCAAGAACTACATTGCTGTCAGTCCAGAATGTATGCGTAGCCTCATCAAGTCGTAGTTCTGCATCCAAGAAGGTTTTGACCTTAACAGCAATGACTGCTGCTGTCAATTCTAAACGGGGAATTGTTACCAGTTTCAGCGGTGCTACTCTAGCCTTTCCAACGACGAGGGAGCAATGAACTCGTCCTTCAGCATTAGTGACTCTCAGATAAGTACACTGTCCATATCCACTGGTGCTTGCATCAGCAAAATGATGATATTCTACTGACTTCACCTCTCCAAATTCAGTTGGTTTGTAGCATCTGTTGATTGATATGGTGGGGAGTATAAGCAAGTCAGTTCTCCATCTATCCCATCGTTCCCTCAAATGGTCAGGAAGAGGGTCATCCCAGTCCTTTGATGAGTTGCATAGCTCCTGTAGAATTCGTTTGCCTGTCAAGACGACTGGAGCTATCAGACCCAATGGGTCATATATGGACATTACTGTAGACAATACTCCTCGACGGGTGAGAGGTTTATCTTGAAGGGTGAGTCTGAAATTGAATGTGTCTGACTCAACGCACCACTGGACACCAAGAGCCCTCTCAATGGGTAAGTCGTCACTTTGAATGTTGATTTCTCTCACATTCTTGGCTCTGTCTTTCTCTGGTACAGAATTCAGCACATCTCTGTCGTTGGATACAAACTTGTGCATGTGTAAGCCACCCTTTTCACACAGCAGCCTGGTTCTGGTGATCAATTGTATCACTTCTTGAGCTGTAGACATCGACTTGAGTCCATCATCAACGTAGAAGTCTCTATGAATGAAATTCTTGACGTCCTCTCCAAATTCAGCGGCATTATCTGTCGCTAGTTGTCGCAGCCCAAAGTTAGCACACCCAGGTGATGACCCAGCTCCAAAGAGATGCACTGTCATGCGGTACACACTTGGATCCTCTTCAAGGTTTCCACCTTTCCACCACAGGAATCTTAGATAGTCTCTATCTTCTTCGTTCACCTTGAACTGATGAAACATTTCTTGTATATCGCATATGAATGCAATATTCTCAAGTCGAAATCGACATAGCACCCCGGTGAGCTTGTTTGTGAGGTCCGGCCCAGTGAGTAGGTGACTGTTCAAAGAATGACTTCTGTATTGTGCACTGCCGTCAAATACAACTCTTAACTTGTTGGGTTGCACTACACCATGATGTGGTATGTACCAGGTAGCACCCACAGTATCAGTCATTGGAGCAGTCTCGGCATATCCTTTGTTGATAAGCGTCTCCATCACTTCTGTATACTTCCTTTGGTATTCTATGTTGTGTCTGAACTTCTTCTCCAGATGTACAAGTCTCGACCATGCTTGGGCTTTGTTGTTCGGGAGTTGAGGTCTTTCATCCTTAAAAGGAAGCGGCATCTCATAGTGACCATCACTCATGTGTATTCCTTTATTCATGATGTCAAGGAATTTGATGTCATTCTGGGAGAAAGCCGTCCCTTCTACACTTGTATCAGTGAAGTCAGCTTCCATTATACTCTTCACTAGTAAGGGTGTGATCTCTTCCTTGGTTGTCACCCTTTCAGAAAGGAAGACTTCCTTTCTGTCTATCACCAATGTCTCTGGAATTTCTCTTGTCATCAACCGGTGACTGATGCCAATACGGTCGTCATTCTTGCGGTTGTAGTCACTACGTATTGTTCCTACAATACTCCATCCAAGGTCGGTTCGTATGCCATATGGTCCATTGTTGAATGGTGCAGGAATCACATCTCTCGGCAACAAGGCTCTCGCACAGTCATAACCAATCAATAGGCCTATGTCACAATCTTGTAGTGGAATGAGCTTGCTGCTAAGATCACGCAGGTGAGGAATGGACTTAGCAGTCTCTGGAGTTGGTACATGTGTCCGGTCAGCCGGCATGATGTCACGTGTGTAAGTCGGTGGTAAAATTAATTTGTCCTTGCCATCATGTGCGCGTACACGCAGTCCATACACACGTTCACTGTTTATTCGTTGGTCCTTCATGGATAGCGTGGATAGCTGTAAGTTGACCTTAGTCCCATGTAGCCCCATTTCGTCCTTGATGGATGTGAGTAGGAAAGTTGTATCTGACTGAGTATCCAGCAGGGCGTATGTCAAAGTTTCACCAACACTGTCCTTATGTGACAACCATACAGGAACAATCATCGAGCTTTTGAGTGTTTCTTGTCCATTACTTTTCCTTGCAATGTGTGAGCTTGATGACCTCACTTCATCTTGGGTTGTATCTTGATTTGAAGGTTGAGCGTTAACCCTCACCCAGTCTTTAACATGGAGTGCTGTTGGGTGTCTCCTTTTACACTCCTTACAAGTGCTTCTCTTCTTGCACTCGTTTGATCGATGACCAACCTTTAGACACCCATAGCACAAGCCCTTTTCAACGATAAATTTCTTCTTCTCTGCCATCTCCCATGCTGAAAAGGTATGGCACTCTTCCAAGGAGTGTGGCTTCTTGCAGACCAAGCAGGATACAGTCTTTCTATCACCCATTCCTTTCTGATTCCTACTGCTAGTAGCATCAGTTGCTAATGTTCTGACTTCTGATACTGCTGCCTTTCCTCTCTCGTATCTTGATTCCCTCAATCCATAAACAGAGGTGATGGGACAACAAGCAATCTTTGACTCCTCCTCGATGAAACGTGCAAACAGCTTGAAAGGAGGAAAGCTGCCATTGCTGTCTGCCCATTGATAAGCCTTCCTGGACCAGCGTACAACTAACCATTCAGGTAACTTGGTCAGGATCTTACGAATTTCACAGTCGTCATTCAGATGATGAAGGTTCTGAATTTTGTCCATTGCTGTAACACACTGCCGTAGGAAATCAGAGAACTTCCTCAAACCAGGTGCATCCTTTGTGGCTATTCGAGGCCATCTCTCCATCTTGTCTCGAAAGGCTTTAGCTATGACAAAGGAATTTCCGTACCGTTCTTCCAAAGCCTTTCTGGCATCATGATATGCTGTTTCGTTGTCGATCAGAGCATATCCCTTTACTAGCTCTAGGGGTTGACCCTTCAGGTACTTTTCAAGGTAGAAGAACCTGTCCATAGGCGTGATGCCACTGCGATCAATTAGAACGTCGAAGGCGTGTTTCCAACCTGGATACAAGAGGGGATTGCCATCAAATGAAGTCGGTTCAGGTAGAGGCAATCGTGAGGCTCTCAACTGTTCTGCAAAGAGACTCAAAGGGTCAATGGGTGAAGTCTCATGAACAGGCGGATCAACAAGTGATGGTGGATCAACAGGTGATGGTTCATCGAAAGTGACTGCTTGCCTCAAAGATGCATCATCGCTCTTTTCATCTTCCTTTAGAACAATCATTCTGTCAAGAGTGCTTTTCATGATTGAACTGTGTTCTTTCTCAACTTCCTCTAATTTGTCCTCACTATCATCAGCTATCTCGGAGGACAATCGTAACTCTGTGAGGTTCTCCTGCCCATTGATGACAGTGTCCATCAGTACTTGTAACCCATCTCGAAGAGCCTTGACATCAGAAAAACCAACATCATCTATTAGTGCAGCTCTTAGCTTGTTGGCCTTACGTCGCCAGGAGGTCACACTGCTTCTGAAGTTCTTAGTCTTCAGATCGAGCTGGTATTCGATGCTCCTTTCTGTGGAGACTGACTGTCGCTTCTGCGGAGCAGGTTGTTCTTCAGTCATGATTAACAGGTGTCTCTGTAGCTTCCCAGTCTCGGCAGAAACAAGGAATCTTCTGGTAGGGATTCACTGTGGAAGAGTTTTCACTGTAACTGTTGTCGATCACGAAAACCCAATAAATTCAGTCAGACACAAGCTTTTACGGGAGTTGTCAATCTTTATTTTACGTCTCCGTATCCATCCGTGTAACTCCGTGAAAACTGTATGACAAAGACAAAAATTGCAAGCATAATAAGTAAATATGCAAATGAATCTAACCACAACTGCAATGCTTCAATACGTTATCAAATAAGGAAATGAGCATTTATATCGATTACAGCTTCGATCGATCACAGAATCATCTACGCAAAATAATCTTGGCTATAAACCCTTGCCAATCGTTATAATCATTATGTCATACAATTTATAAGGCTTCCATGGCTCCTTGTAACTTGACAGCCTAACTAAATTGAATCAACTCCAATGACGAAAGAATAATGACTTTTCATTGCCCCACATATGCCTTTCTATGTAAGTAGAAAGTGTAGATCCTTCCAGACCCTTCCTTGTAAACTTCATTTATCTTTGTCCTAAATTACCCTAATACAAGTACTTTCATAACTATGATAAATGAAACCTGTCTCATACAGTCATAAGTCATATATATCAGTCATTACTCTTCACTTTATCCAATATTTCATAAATGAATTTACCGTTCTACGTAAATTCCTACACAGTCGCACATTACACGTGTACATGAACGTATCGCTACATACAGCCAGACTTGGCTTTATATCCAAATTAATCTTCATAATCCTTTACATAACAGCACTTAATTGCAAGCAAACATCATATATATAAATATACTGACCTCTGTGCCCTTTTGTGAACTGAATATCCCTCAGAATACGATTTTTGACAAATCAAAACATTCGGTAACAAACAAACTCAGCTTGCTCCATCGAACCAAAAATCAGCTGCCACTAGAGGGCGACAAATTTCTGAGCAAGTCAACGTCATCTACAATTATTATCAACCTATGGGATAATGGGAACCAAGTGAATCCTGTGTAAAGTCTGTGGGTATATAAGAATTCAGTAGTCGATGGGTAAAATGGCCTGTGATATATTTTTGATTTAATTTGTTATCTAAATTACAGGTCGCCTGAAAAATGATTCCCACATTAAGTGTCAACTGGATACTGACCTCTATGAAGGTATCCACTTAGATTTTGATGTGGATGAGGAGTGGCCCATTTATACTGTTCCTGGTGGTGATGATTGGGTAAAACATCTTGAAGACAGTGCTCCGTTTGACCTTTGTTCGTTTATCACTTCAAGTCAACGGACAAAACCTTGCAAGAGAAATGGGCAGGAGACATTTGAGAAGGATGTAGCCAAGGACAAGGCAGAGTGCTTCACTGCATTGGCATCCCCAACAAGGAAGCGTTACGGCAAGGGCTGTGCAATCCATCGGCCTGACCTTGCGACCCTTGAACCTGAAACGGCGGAGTCCAAGTCGGACTTCAGTTATGTCGACACTATGGACAGCGGTTTTGAATCCAGTGGGTCATCTACAGTTGAGGATGACCACAGGGTGTCTTGGCTGGACCTAGGCAGTGTGGCCAAAGAAGCTGTCCATCCTGACAGACTGAGGATGGACTTTGGGCATGATTATGTAGATGGACGCTCTGTACCTAGGAGGTTTTCTATCAAGATGAAAGCAGTTTCAGCCAGTCAGGTTCCTGTATGTGCATCAGCTGTGTGTGCTGTAGAAGATGCTGGACACAATCCAGAAATGGTGAACATACGGTGAGTTTACCTGCGATATTCATTTAATGTTGTATCATGTCTGATAAGTATATCAATGAAGTGTATAACATCACTGATTTCATTATGATGAATCAGCAGCTTCATATTGGTTGTTCAGAGTACTTGTGAATTGGCTAGATTTGAGAATTTTTGTTTGAAATCAAACAAGAAAATGAGATCAATGTTCATGACAGGATAAAAAAAAAGGTTGAGAATCATTTCCTGAACTTGTTGAAGACCTGTCTCAGTTATTAACACATCCTATTAACCTCTGTTATGAATACTCTGTCAAGCAGTTACATACTGAACGAATTTACATTAAACAGAGTTACAAGGTCAATGCCAAACTCTCTGATGAACTATTGTACATTAAGTCTATAGGAGCTAAAGCTAGGGTAATAATTTCTAAAGCTCTTTGGAAGTGCATAGAGGTGTTATTTCATAACGTATTATGCACTATACAAGAACTGAATATTGTTGTTATTATTATTAACTTTCTTAAATTATAAATCCACATTTTTATTGTAAGGGAGAAGAGAACAAACAACAATATTGAAGTTTAATATGATTAAATTTTGGCAGGTTGAGGTGTTGCAGTGGTGACTCCCCAGTACAAGATCTACATCTAGTCATCAGAGAAGGCATCTCGACTCCTCCTCTAGACATCCTGTCCCTCGTAGACAAGCTGAAAGAGATTCTTTCTCATCATGCCAGGTTAGTGTGGTTTTACATTGATGGCATTGAGAGAGAAAGACAGATCATCTAGGCAAGCTTTAAAGACAGGGGGTGGTATTCTCATAAGTTAACCCGGGACTAAGTCTAGACTAAACAAGAATTTTAGTTCACACTTCTATGGAATGCTAGGTGTTATCTTCCTCCTTCAATATTCATGACACAAATAATCTACCAAAGACTTTGTTAAGATTCAGTTCATACTCATATTATCTTTCCTTCCCATTTCATTGCAAAATTAATTTTTTGGACACTTTTCATTGAAGGACTAAAATAATCTGTACAGGGTAAATGAGTTTGCAACAGGCACTCCATAATAGTGTGGACTAACTTAGTACGCGCTAACTTAGTACACGCTACCCCGGGAGGGATAGTAGTAGCCATAGCCTATTGAGAGGGATAGCTGTGACACGTGCACACGTACAAGATCAAAGGTCAATAAATGGAGCTCTAAATAGTTCTCCCCCCCCCCCCCTGGAGATTGTATGTGAGAGGGAACTATTTGAAGCTCCATGAATTGACTTTTAGATCAGGGTGCCTGTGCCTGTGCCTGTGTCACAACTATCTCTCTAACTATGCTATGGTAGTAGCCAGTTTTTTTTTTTTTTTTTTTTTTGGGGGGGGGAAGGGGACTTGACCACAGAATATACATGTAACTTGACTAATTATAAAGGGTGGAAGCGAATAAGCAAATAAGAAGAAAGTAAGGTAGGCTTTAAGAGAGAGAGAGAGAGAGACAGAGAGAGTTTGATGAAGAAACATAGGAGGGATTTCTTTGATGTATAACGTGTTTTTTTCTTCTCCTGAAGCGTATATAGTGGTACTGCAAAATATTCAGTAAATAATTAAATGAGCAACAAGACAATGTCCAATTAAAAATATATAAATGATTTAGAAATTCAGCAAATATAGCCACACAGTGTGCTAAGCACAATGCACTAATATATATATGTAAATTATATTTTTCTCTCTTTCCCTTTTACTCTCCACTTTCAAGAAAGGAGTGTCTTTCCTTTTCTCTTTGTTTTCATTTTTCTTTAAATTACAAATGAAAGGGTTGTAAAGATAATGTAATGGTACATGTTTATTGAAAAGATAAGTAACAAAATAATGAGATGTATTTAACTTTTCATTTTGTAATGTATAGTTGCCAGGAGATATTGGAATCTAACGTTTGTAAATCCAGGAGACCGGAAGTCACGCTGGAGACTGTGCAAAGCATGATGGGATGGACTTTCACATATGACACTCCTGAACATGTCAAAGCTCAGTTAGATGATGCGGAGGCTGGATATGAACAGGTATAAACCCATTACCAAGGTCCTAATGGTCAAATTAATTATAATCGGTTGTCATGTGAATTAGTACTTCACATTCTAGTTGGATTGTATTTTTACATTGCGGTTAAATCAGTCAAATTTAGATGTGCCAGTAGGCCCGTGCACACATAACAATTAGTGCGATTTGGATCACAATATAAAGATGGATTTTTTTTTGCGTCCATGCACACATGTCAATAAATAGTGCGAATTGGATCGCGATGCAAAGATTTAATTTTTTTTGCCGACCAATCACACGCGGACAATTCTCGCTCGAGGACAAGAATGTCCAAACTGCACATGCTTGAATCACAACGATGTACGCGTGCTTGCATTCCTGGGATTTAAATCAATCACTTTTTATGCCTCCGCCACCGAAGGTGGTGCCGGAGGCATCATGTTTTCGGGTTGTCCGTCCGTACGTCCGTACGTCCGTCCCGTTTGACGGTTATCACAATATCTCAAGAACCATTTAAGATTTAAACTTAAGACTCGGGAATAGTATTTATCACCATAGGAAGACGATCTGATAAGATTTTGGAGTACGTAGGTCAAAGGTCACAGGTCACAGGTGTCAACTTATGAAATTCCTTGTATTGAGTTTGTTAGAGCGATATCTCAAGAACCATTTGAGATTTAAACTTCAAACTTAAGGATAGTATGTATCACCATAGGAAGACGATCTGATTAGATTTTGGAGCACGTATGTCAAAGGTCAAGGGTCACAGAGGTCAACTTATGAAATTCCATACATTGAGATTGTTATCATGATATCTCAAGAACCACTGGAGATTTAAACTTCAAACTTAGTGATAGTGTGTATCACTATAGGAAAACAATCTGATTACATTTTGGAGCACGTAGGTCAAAGGTCAAGGGTCATAGAGGTCAACTTATGAAATTCCATACATTGAGATTGTTATCATGATATCTCAAGAACCACTGGAGATGTAAAATCTTCAAACTTAAGGATAGTATGTATCACCATAGGAAGACGATCTGATTAGATTTTGGAGCACGTAGGTCAAAGGTCAAGGGTCACAGAGGTCAACTTATGAAATTCCATACATTGAGATCGTTATCGCGATATCTCAAGAACCACTGGAGAATTTTCACTTCAAACTTAATGATAGTATGTATCACCATATCATAATATCTCAAGAACCACTGGAGATTTAAACTTCAAACTTAATGATAGTGTGTATCACCATAGGAAGACAATCTGATTAGATTTTGGAGCACGTAGGCCAAAGGTCAAGGGTCACAGAGGTCAACTTATGAAATTCCATACATTGAGATTGTTATCATGATATCTCAAGAACCACTGGAGATTTAAACTTCAAACTTAGTGATAGTGTGTATCACTATAGGAAAACAATCTGATTACATTTTGGAGCACGTAGGTCAAAGGTCAAGGGTCATAGAGGTCAACTTATGAAATTCCATACATTGAGATTGTTATCATGATATCTCAAGAACCACTGGAGATGTAAAATCTTCAAACTTAAGGATAGTATGTATCACCATAGGAAGACGATCTGATTAGATTTTGGAGCACGTAGGTCAAAGGTCAAGGGTCACAGAGGTCAACTTATGAAATTCCATACATTGAGATCGTTATCGCGATATCTCAAGAACCACTGGAGAATTTTCACTTCAAACTTAATGATAGTATGTATCACCATATCATAATATCTCAAGAACCACTGGAGATTTAAACTTCAAACTTAATGATAGTGTGTATCACCATAGGAAGACAATCTGATTAGATTTTGGAGCACGTAGGCCAAAGGTCAAGGGTCACAGAGGTCAACTTATGAAATTCCATACATTGAGATTGTTATCATGATATCTCAAGAACCACTGGAGATTTAAACTTCAAACTTAGTGATAGTGTGTATCACTATAGGAAAACAATCTGATTACATTTTGGAGCACGTAGGTCAAAGGTCAAGGGTCATAGAGGTCAACTTATGAAATTCCATACATTGAGATTGTTATCATGATATCTCAAGAACCACTGGAGATGTAAAATCTTCAAACTTAAGGATAGTATGTATCACCATAGGAAGACGATCTGATTAGATTTTGGAGCACGTAGGTCAAAGGTCAAGGGTCATAGAGGTCAACTCATGAAATTCCATACATTGAGATTGTTATCATGATATCTCAAGAACCACTGGAGATGTAAAAACTTCAAACTTAAGGATAGTATGTATCACCATAGGAAGACGATCTGATTAGATTTTGGAGCACGTAGGTCACAGGTCAAGGGTCACAGAGGTCAACTTATGAAATTCCTTGTATTGAGTTTGTTAGCGCGATATCTCAAGAACCATTTGAGATTTAAACTTCAAACTTAAGGATAGTATGTATCACCATAGGAAGACGATCTGATTAGATTTTGGAGCACGTATGTCAAAGGTCAAGGGTCACAGAGGTCAACTTATGAAATTCCATACATTGAGATCGTTATCGCGATATCTCAAGAACCACTGGAGAATTTTCACTTCAAACTTAATGATAGTATGTATCACCATATCATAATATCTCAAGAACCACTGGAGATTTAAACTTCAAACTTAATGATAGTGTGTATCACCATAGGAAGACAATCTGATTAGATTTTGGAGCACGTAGGCCAAAGGTCAAGGGTCACAGAGGTCAACTTATGAAATTCCATACATTGAGATTGTTATCATGATATCTCAAGAACCACTGGAGATTTAAACTCCAAACTTGATGATAGTACATGTATGTATCACCATAGGAAGACAATCTGATTAGATTTTGGAGCACGTAGGTCACAGGTCAAGGGTCACAGAGGTCAACTTATGAAATTCCTTGTATTGAGTTTGTTAGCGCGATATCTCAAGAACCATTTGAGATTTAAACTTCAAACTTAAGGATAGTATGTATCACCATAGGAAGACGATCTGATTAGATTTTGGAGCACGTATGTCAAAGGTCAAGGGTCACAGAGGTCAACTTATGAAATTCCATACATTGAGATTGTTATCATGATATCTCAAGAACCACTGGAGATTTAAACTTCAAACTTAGTGATAGTGTGTATCACTATAGGAAAACAATCTGATTACATTTTGGAGCACGTAGGTCAAAGGTCAAGGGTCATAGAGGTCAACTCATGAAATTCCATACATTGAGATTGTTATCATGATATCTCAAGAACCACTGGAGATGTAAAAACTTCAAACTTAAGGATAGTATGTATCACCATAGGAAGACGATCTGATTAGATTTTGGAGCACGTAGGTCAAAGGTCAAGGGTCACAGAGGTCAACTTATGAAATTCCATACATTGAGATCGTTATCGCGATATCTCAAGAACCACTGGAGAATTTTCACTTCAAACTTAATGATAGTATGTATCACCATATCATAATATCTCAAGAACCACTGGAGATTTAAACTTCAATCTTAATGATAGTGTGTATCACCATAGGAAGACAATCTGATTAGATTTTGGAGCACGTAGGTCACAGGTCAAGGGTCACAGAGGTCAACTTATGAAATTCCTTGTATTGAGTTTGTTAGCGCGATATCTCAAGAACCATTTGAGATTTAAACTTCAAACTTAAGGATAGTATGTATCACCATAGGAAGACGATCTGATTAGATTTTGGAGCACGTATGTCAAAGGTCAAGGGTCACAGAGGTCAACTTATGAAATTCCATACATTGAGATCGTTATCATGATATCTCAAGAACCACTGGAGATTTAAACTTCAAACTTAGTGATAGTGTGTATCACTATAGGAAAACAATCTGATTACATTTTGGAGCACGTAGGTCAAAGGTCAAGGGTCATAGAGGTCAACTTATGAAATTCCATACATTGAGATTGTTATCATGATATCTCAAGAACCACTGGAGATGTAAAAACTTCAAACTTAAGGATAGTATGTATCATCATATCATAATATCTCAAGAACCACTGGAGATTTAAACTTCAAACTTAATGATAGTGTGTATCACCATAGGAAGACAATCTGATTAGATTTTGGAGCACGTAGGTCAAAGGTCAAGGGTCACAGAGGTCAACTTATGAAATTCCATACATTGAGATTGTTATCATGATATCTCAAGAACCACTGGAGATGTAAAAACTTCAAACTTAAGGATAGTACATGTATGTATCACCATAGGAAGACAATCTGATTAGATTTTGGAGCACGTAGGTCACAGGTCAAGGGTCACAGAGGTCAACTTATGAAATTCCATACATTGAGATCGTTATCGCGATATCTCAAGAACCACTGGAGAATTTTCACTTCAAACTTAATGATAGTATGTATCACCATAGGAAGACGATCTGTTTAGATTTTGGAGCACGTAGGTCAAGGGTCACAGAGGTCAACTTGTGAAATTCCATGTCTTGAGCTCGTTTTCGCGATATCTCAAGAACCATTTGAGATTTTAAACTTCAAACTTAAGGATAGTATATATATCACCATAGGAAAACGATCAGATTAGATTTTGAAGTACATGTATGTCAAAGGTCATAGAGGTCAACTTGAAAAATTCAGACTACATGTATAGGACTTGTCATGATATGTCAAGAACCACTTGAAATATGTTCCGTTACTTAACCCTTACTTAACTGGGCTATTTTGAGCACCTCCCTGACTGGGGGGGGGGGGGGGGAGGGGCCGATTGCCTTGAAATTTGGCACGCGTCTTGAGAAATTGCGCAAAGGAAGAGACCTCACTATTATTTTGCTGAAAATTGCTTATTTTATCAATTATGCTAATTTATGCAAATCAAATTCATGAATAATGATTTTTATTAACAATTACATAAATAAGCTTTTACAGAGTTGATTTTGTGGCAAAAAGTTTCTAAAAAGCCTATCGGGCATTATCACATAAAAAAATTGTCCATGTCTATTTCAATTCTTATGTATTTCATTGTTTTATGAACTTCTTTTGTATTCTATTGTTATTAATTCTTAATCTTATGTATTGTATTGTTTTAGGACTTCTGATACTTGAGGTTATTACGTATCAATATTTTGCTTGAATAAATGATAACGAAACTCTAAAGAGTAAAATTATGCTGATTTATAGACCAAACTAGAAACTTCACTTTGCCATTCATTTTGTACACAAAATGACAAATTTCTCAATTTTCGGCTTGACCTTAGGTCACAATAGGTCAAGTAACTCTCTAGCTGAATGTCTGATTTTCAAAAACTTGGTGTCAAAAGATCCGTAAGACTTGAAAGAAAAAACTCATGAAGCAGCATCGCCGAAAACATGGCGGTTCATGCGCAACAAAATTTGTTTGGGTGGGGGGGGGGCCTCCGAGCTCCCTCCTCCCTCCCCCCCCCCCCCCCCAGTTAAGTAAGGGTTAAAAACTTTTTTATTTATCCTGATTTTCTCGATTTTCCCGATTTCCCTCTTATTATCTCTATTCTTCCCTATTTTTCCCCAATTTTCCCCCAATTTTTCCACTTTTGTCCCAATTTTCTTACTCGAAAGGGGGGGAATGTTGTAAGATGCCATTTTCACCCCGCGAATACTCTTTTTTCTTTTTTTTTACTCAAGGGGGGCGTGGTTGAGGGGAAAACAAAAACCAATTTTTTTTTAGTGCTCACTATCACCCCTGATGTATATGTATCTTGCAGAGCCAATGAACTGATTCGATTTTAGGGTCATCAGGTCAAAGGTCATGGGGCTCATTATGTATGCCTATAAATAGCTTGGGAGTGCATTATCATTGAAACCGACAGATGGATTACAATCAAACTTGAATTTTAAAAATTGCTCTATGGCGGAGGCATGCATTTTCGACTGCGCGCGGTCAAAATTCCATCTAGTTTATTCTTAGTACCATTCACACACACAGCGCCCGGCAAACTATCGCGATTATTCTGAAAAATAGTAAGACTTACTGCGAATCGCGAAGATTAGTAAAATTATTCTATCCACACACGCAAAAAGACAATTTTCAGATCACGATTTCTGTAGGTGTGAACTTCCCTAATTCATTCATGAAATTGTTTAACAGGTGAAATTTACATTTTTACCAGTACACTACACACACAAATACAATCTTTTATGATAACAAAGACATAACATACGGATACCACCTCTAACACGTAGAGGTGACATGGATACATGGTTTGAGTCTTGCCGCGGCTCTAATGTTATTTGGCAAGGCATTAATCTACATTTGCCAGTCTATACCCAGGTGATGTAAATGGGTACTTGGTAAGATGAAATTCCTTGATTGCCAGAGCACTAGCCTATTAGGGTAGGTTGACTAATGCCAGCTAACTAATAGGACATCGCTTACAAACATTAGTATAAAGTGCTATATCAATGTCAATACTATTATTATTATTATCATTATATTTTTACTTCTGCAAGCACGGATATCTTTAGAAGCAGCTGACGTGGGCAAAGCGCTAGTGCTACATTAAAAATTTATAAAGGCAAAGAAAATACAGTCAACCCTGTCTATAGCGACAGCCCGAGAGAAACACAAAACGTGGTCTTTATAGACAGGTTCCTTTAGTACATGTTTCAATGAGAAACCATTTTCAAGGAAAACAAAATAGGTGGTCTTTGTATTTAGGTTACTATTACCGAATTATGTTTAAATCATTGAATTACTTTTCAATGCCCTCTTAAGCATCTAAATGGGACCCCTGATTTCTCTGAATCGGAGATCAGCCTTGAGGGTGAGGACAGCTGTGGAATCTGCTTGGAGAGTCTAGCGCCCTCTGGTGATGAAGGTGAAGAGAAGGGGACTGCCCTGCATGGATGTAGCCATTTGTTCTGCAATGCATGCTGGGTACATCATGTAACCAGCAGGGTGCTGATGGGCGAGACCATCATCCATTGTCCAGTAAGTAATCTTTTTGTGCATGACTTTGGCTATTGAAGGGGAATCATAACATTTACAGCAAGTTTCTTGGAGTATGCGTGGACAAATCATCGAAAAATGTTATTTAACAATTTGAGAAACGTGGTGAAAGTAATGTGACGAAAATGTGTCTTTCGAAAAGAAGGAAAATGTATTACTTTTCTTTAATAGATCAGACCAGGTAATGAAACTCCCCAGTGAAGCAGGACTACAGTATTTCATTGAGAGCTGCAGTCTTCGTTTGTATGTCTTTGATTCTTAAAAAGGCATCACTACCTTTACCTGTGTAGTTCCTCGATCGTCATGATTTGATGAGGCTAAAGCTTAAAGGGATCCGGTAACTTTGTCTCAGATTCTGAAACAAAATCCTGGATTTAGCTCATGCTGCAATGATAATTATAAACCTTTAGGTCAATCAGGAACTCCTTGACTTTTACAAGCCGACAGCCTGTCTGATTATCAAGATGTTTATGATTTGAAATCGAAACCAACTTTCACGTTTGCCAAACGGTTTTCATTACACTACAGTCTATAGGGGAAAACAAGTATGGTAAAACCAGTCACTCAAAGATTTTTACTCTTTTTGAGTCACTTCTTGATCATTTTGAAGCGCAATTTTTTGATGGCTTCCATATTACACCATATCACAGACACTAGTGGCACGTAGGGCCATGCATCTCATATTTAACATTGTTAATGATGCCTTTAAGGTCCTTATGTCACTGTGAAACTGTGTGATGAGTGAAAATGAAGCAGTCTACAAGGACTTTTATCCAGTATGTAATATATTATATTCACTCCATCTTTTAGAACAGCATGTTGACAGTAGTTCATTTGTTAATGGTCATGTAAATGTAAATGCTAGATTTGTCAATGTTTCCCCCCATTTATTCTTGAAGGCATTCCAATGTGAATCCATGATTGACAAGACCACTCTACTGTCCGTCTTGCCTGATGCTCTCACCCACATCCATCTTACCCGTCTCCATGACAACCGCATCAACGGTCATCCCCAATGGAAATGGTGTCCCAATCCTAAATGCGGCCGGCTGGTCCAGGTCAAGGAGAAGGATCAGTCCAAGACCGGGTCCAAGACCGGTCTGGAATCAGGACCAGAGGCTTCTGAGAGGTTACTGGGGGTTCCTGTCCCCTGTGAGTGTGGTGTGATGTGGTGCTCCGAGTGCCAGAAGGCTGCTCACTGGCCGGCTACCTGTAAGGAAGCAGAGCAGCACATCCAGCATATAAAAGACACTGGTGAATAATACATGTTTAGGTCTACCATGCTTTCTGGTTTTGTGTTAGTCAAAAGATGCATGGCCCTTTGTGAATTGGTAGCTTCATCAATTTTAAATATATTTTAAATCTATCTTTTGCTCTAAATCCTTGGAAATAGAGGATAAATAGTCTAGTTTTCTTGGCAATACAATTAAAAGTGAGGAGCAAATAGACCAAAATTATATGTTACGCTTCTAAAAAAATGACCAGGGTTGCAGTCAAGTTACGCCATAACAGTAATGTCCATTCTCCACCAAGGTAGTATAGCTTATAGGAAGACCAGTGTGTTGGTTCAGTCAGTAGAGCATCCGCCTCACAACCGGGAGGTCGTGGGTTCAAACCCCGGCCGCGTCATATACCAAAAGACGTTAAAAGATGGGAGTTGCTGCTACCTTGTTTGGCGTTCAACATTAAAGGGATAGAGCAACATCGATCTGGCGCTGCTCAGTACGTGGCTGCCGGGCAAAAAGAATTTCCATTTTGGGTTTAATAAAAAATTTGGAGTGGACTTTAAAAGATTATTATGCCTTCGTTACGAAGTAGCCGGAGGCATTATGTTTTCGGGTTGTCCGTCCGTCCGTCCGTACGTCCCGTTCTCGTGATCGCGTTATCTGAAGAACCAATTGATGGATTCCTGCCAAACTTTGGTCATGTATGTATCTTGCAGAGCCGATAAACTGATTAGATTTTGAGGTCACGAGGTCAAAGGTCAAAGGTCACAGGGCTCATTATGTATGCAAAAACAGCTCGTGATCGCGTTATCTCAAGAACCGATTGATGGATTCCTGCCAAACTTTGGTCATGTATGTATCTTGCAGAGCCGATGAACTGATTAGATTTTGGGGTCACGAGGTCAAAGGTCAAAGGTCACAAGGCTCATTATGTATGCAAAAACAGCTCGTGATCGCGTTATCTCAAGAACCGATTGATGGATTCCTGCCAAACTTAGGTCATGTATGTTACTTGCAGAGCCGATGAACTGATTAGATTTTGGGGTCACGAGGTCAAAGGTCAAAGGTCATGCGGCTCATTATGTATGCAAAAAATAGCTTGTGAACGCATTATCATTAGAACAGATAGATGGATTCCTGCCAAACTTAGATCATGTATGTATCTTGCAGAGCCAATGAACTGAGTACATTTTAGGGTCATGAGGTCAAAGATCAAAGGGTCATATATGTATATGAGAAATTGCTTTTTGGTTTGTAAACTTGCTCTATGACGGAGGCATCATTTTCGACTGCGCGCAGTCGAAGTTCCATCTAGTTATTATTATTATTATTATTATTTATGTATTTCTTGTATGCTCTCAGCACCTTAGGGCATCTCAGCTAAAGCAATGCCATCATAATTACATTACTACACATGTATATAGGTACCTTGAGCATCCCCTGGGATAGATTAGTGCACAGTTTAAAAGAGTCCACATATTTCTTTATTTCTTGTAGGTGTTGATAATGAAAAATCCGAGAGAATCACATCCGTAAAGGTCAAACGGTGCCCTTCCTGTCGTAACCCCATGGAGAAGAAAGGCGGCTGCAATTCGATGTACTGTATCTGTGGCTTCAACTTCTGTTGGGAATGCTTAGCGGCATGGCAGGACCATGACCTCTCTCTTTGGAATTTTAAGTGCCCTCAGAAGCAGGAGAATCTCGAGGTAGGTTTCTTTGAAAGATGATATTACTGCAAACGCTGCTTTTTTTGCGCGTTAAATTTTTCACGCTGAGCGACCCCAAAACATAATCGCTGGTCCTTAAATTTGCGTTGCACCAAATTCAGCCCGTTCAAATCACGCGTAAGAAGTCTTGTTTATATTTTAGCGGGTTCAAAAATTTGCGGACACCGACTTTAGCGCGAAATCCGTGAAAATTAATGTACCGCAAATATTTCCACGTTTACAGTGCCTCATTATCAACGGGGTCATACACGATTGTTAATCAAGTATAAAGATTACCCCTTTTTGCTTAAAACAGGTACAAATTGAACATGAATATACCCCAAAACAAATACATGTAGTATCCCATTTTGCAGACTTTGCTTCATGTCATTTAAGTCGAAGCTAGGTTTCTCTTTGAAATATGTGACTCTGTTTCGTGAACTTTCTTGCTCTTTAAAACAAAAAGTGCCTTTTATAAATTCAAATCTGCAAACATCTCTGTAAAACACCCTTTTTGCTAAATTTCTATCCTTTGTACATAAAGTTAACATGAACTTATACCATCATGCTTTTACGGTTCAATGACACATGCTCCTGCGATAACTACTCTGCAGCAATGTCCTACATGAACCAAATTACTCCTAACTGAAACCCAAGTTTAAGCACTATACCTGACCCTAACCCTTAGCCTGAAGTTTTGACAAAATATAGCCTGTGGCAGATGTTGCCAGAGCGAATGTTGGGGCATCATTTTTATTTCCACAGTGGGTTAGGACGTATCCCGTCCATCATTAGAAGAAAAAAAAATGAGAAAAGCTTTATCGGCTAAATTTTTACATGATTACCAGAAATTATTGTATTATGGGAGGCATATATCCAAATGAAAATAACATAAAGCAATCTCAAATGGTCCAACTGTAAATTCACTGACTAAACACGTCTGCGATTGAATTGGGGAGATTATTCCAGAAACGACGAAATGTATATCAGCAAGAGTATCAACTCGTGATCAAATACAAGGACATGTTCCATTTGACGTCATAGCCAAACGTCATAAAAGGTAAAGACCAGTATTGGAAACGCCCCAATTTCAAAAAAATAAATGGAAGCTCTTATTACCAATCGTGTGAAAGAGTATGTTTTGACTAATACATGATGATAACAAATTTGCCAGGAAATCGCTACTAATTGATATATTTGGTAAATGAATTTATCTATTGGTGTGTGAGAGATAAACGCACGTGTCGCGCACGTGTGCGTAGTCCCATATACATCTTTCTGTGTAAAGTGCTCGTAACTTTACGAAGACTGGGCCAAATTTCTTATCATTTTGATGATTCCAGAACCTTGCAGTTCACACCAATACTTATATGCTAGATGATCAACCTTTTCTGATCGATTCCACAACGTTTCTTTCACAATGCAATCACATAGCCATAACTGGCCTTTATCTTTAAGCTGTCCCTTTGGAAATAATATTTAATTTTGTATTTCTTTTAGACTGTGTTACTGTCATCAAGGAGAAATCAATCCGTCTTCTTCACTGAGCTTGCCATTGAGAATCATAAGATGAGGAGTCATAAGGTCATCGTGAAGCACCACCAGCAAGCTGAGGAGCTCGCACGGAGAATGGTAGGTAGTCTAGTTTGTGAATCATAAGATCATCACCAAGCACCACCAGCGAGCTGAGGAGCTCGCACGGAGAATGGTAGGTAGTCTAGTTTGAGAATCATAAGATCATCACCAAGCACCACCAGCGAGCTGAGAAGCTCGCACGGAGAATGGTAGGTAGTCTAGTTTGAGAATCATAAGATCATCACGAAGCACCACCAGCGAGCTGAGAAGCTCGCACGGAGAATGGTAGGTAGTCTAGTTTGAGAATCATAAGATCATCACAAAGCACCATCAGCAAGCTCAGAAGCTCGCACGGAGAATGGTAGGTAGTCTAGTTTGAGAATCATAAGATCATCACAAAGCACCATCAGCAAGCTCAGAAGCTCGCACGGAGAATGGTAGGTAGTCTAGTTTGAGAATCATAAGATCATCACAAAGCACCATCAGCAAGCTCAGAAGCTCGCACGGAGAATGGTAGGTAGTCTAGTTTGAGAATCATAAGATCATCACGAAGCACCACCAGCAAGCTCAGAAACTCGCACGGAGAATGGTAGGTAGTCTAGTTTGAGAATCATAAGATCATCACGAAGCACTATCAGCAAGCTGAGAAGCTTGCACGGAGAATGGTAGGTAGTCTAGTTTGAGAATCATAAGATCATCACGAAGCACCACCAGCAAGCTCAGAAGCTCGCACGGAGAATGGTAGGTAGTCTAGTTTGTGCTCTTCGTTTTGAAGAAGAGAAGTTTCTTGCCTTAAATCCAACAGTTTTTATTAGGGCAAAGATTTTTCAAGTGCTTACAGCAAAAATTAAGAATAAAAATCCTTATAGCCCTTCCAAGACAACATGAAAATAGTTTAAAGTAAATAACAAGGTGCATTGCCTTTGAAAAGCTTTACAGCTCAAAGAAATATCTTGGTGAAAAGTTGGGAGTACGTCACAATTAAGTAAACAAAATGCACTTTACTGAAAATGCGGAGAATCACCTGCAAAGTAACCAACATATTCCTGCAGGTATTTAGCCCGATAGTAAGGGATGGAACTTGAGCTAGGGACCGGCTACCCATTGGAGAAGGGTGGGTGAAGGATGAAGAGGGAGAGTGTGAGAGAGAGAGAATGCAGAGTAGAGGAATAGAGAGAACACAAATACTGTGAGATACAGGTTAGCGCTCTGTATAAGGGGCCTCTCGCATAAAAGATATAATTGCCACAAGCCTTATATAATCATATATTTTAGGGTAGGGATACCCTGGTTTCATGCTATAGGATTTTTCCTATGTAAGAATCTCAATGTACCACTATATCTTTGATCACTCAGGGGCTGATCAAAGAATTTGAAAGGAGAACATGATTTCTTCTACCCATTGGGTCTTAACAGTTGTGGGGGGGGGGGGGGTGGAGGCGGCACAGGCCAGTTGATGTGGTCCCACCCCATGATCTGCCAGTAGCCATTATCATAGTTCATCTCAACGTTGTCTTCCTGCAGTTCTTTGTACCCGAGACTGCTTCTCAACTGCCTGATGATGATCTACTCCCACAAAGTACCTGGGATCATCAAGATACAATTCCTTGGAGCTATTCCTTCAGCCAGACTGACCAATCACGGCTGACTACATTGGTTGCTACGGCAACCAAGATGGCCGCCTTTGCAGCAGAGGTAAGCAAGGCATGCCCCTTTATTATTATTGATGATAATCATGATAATACAATATATTGATAGTCAACCTGTTTGAAACCACTCCTATATACTACCCATTCTCTCCAACCGGCGCTATAGTTCTCCTTAGAGCTATAAGCTAAGAAAGATAACGAACAGACTTTTTTAAGACTACCAAAACTCCTTTTCAGGAATACACACACTCAATAAAGAAAGATTACTGAGAGTCCTTTCCAGGTCTCCCCAATATATCCTCCCCCCCCCCCCCTCCCTCTCACACATGGTGCAACCGCAAGCCTACTGTACATCTACATCACCATGCAAGCCAATACAAATATAAAGCAGCATCTAAAATCTAGCATGTTCTCTATGATTAAACTGCTACTGGTATATATATACTTCAGCATTCACATACACTGTAAAATTATTTACAGAACAACACTGTTGTAAGGTATAAAAGTGATGATAATGGGTTTGAAATTATTCTAGAGATGGGTTTTCATAATGAGCCTCGTATTTTTACTTCCATCTGGACCTATTTTTGCAAGTTCAAAACTGTACTACATGTTTTACATGCAGGGAAAAAAAAGTATTTTTTTGGGGTCCACGTTTTGTCTTGTTTTTACTTTGATAACCTCTTCGACCCATAGCATTTTATAGTTTCCGAATGAATCATATTTTCCTCCTCAAATTGGCAGCGTTTATATGTCGCAGGTTTTTTACCACTCGTAGTTTAGAGAAGAAAAAAAAGGGTGTTTATTAAATGAAACAGTGTGAATGAATTTTTGGTTTGAATCAACCAGAAATGTTTAATTTTTACCAGAAAATGATGACTCAAAATTTTGCTCTGCATTGCCAATTTAAAGACTTCAATGATTATTTTCAAATAAATTACTCTCGTGAATCACAGTGTGGTTCACAAGAGTAATAAGAAAATAAGCGTTTCCCTTACCGAACTGAAGGCCTTCGCTAAGCAGTCGCATAAGCAGTCACAAGCAGTCGATATAAGCAGTCGCAAGCCTTCATTTGCAACATGCATGTCAATGTATTGCTGCAAGCCTTCGAAGGCTTGTAAGCAGTCGATAGGCCTTCCCACAGCCAAGTTAATATGCAAATTAGCTTCGACTGCTTATAATGAAGCTCTAAATAAGCAGTCGACTGCTTATAATGAAGCTCTAAATAAGCAGTCGACTGCTTATAATAAAGCTCTAAATAAGCAGTCGACTGCTTATAATGAAGCTCTATATAAGCAGTCGTGTTTAAACCTTCCTAAGCCTTCGAAGGCTTATAAGCAGTCCGTAGGCCTTCCCACAGCCAAGTTAATATGCAAATTAGCTAAGCCTTCATCATTGACTGCTTATACCTTCGTCGTTGAATCACCTAAACCTTCGTTGTCGACTGCTTATCCCCTAAACCTTCGAGCGTTGTCCACTGGGTACAAACCTTCGACTGCCTATATTACCTAAACCTTCCGTCATCAACTGCAGCTGCGCTAATTTGCTCAAATATATTTGTGAACAAGTATTTACAAAATCAATGACCATGCAATTTCCTAATCTGTACAGAAAGCAAACTCAATTTCGTATTGTGTAATTGTATTACTCACCTTCTGGACAAAATGAAGATGTTTAAAGTAGCTCCAGCAGCTAGCAGCAGGCGCGGATCCAGGATTTCTTAGGGGAGGGGGCCCAACTTTTTTTTTATTTGCTCCCGAAAATTTGAAAATCGCGCCGGCCGAAAAGTCGCTCAGGGGGGGGGGGGGGGGGGGAGGGGGGGGGGGGGGGGGGGGGGAGGGGGGTGGGGGGGGGGGTACAGAGCACATTTTTTTTTTTTTTTTTTTTTTTTTGCTCCCGAAAATTTGAAAAACGCGCCGGCCAAAAATTCGCTCAGTGGGGGGGGGGTAGTGAGCACATTTTTTTTTTTTTTTGATCCTCAAAAAAATTTCAATTTGCACCCCCCCTTGAGCGCCAGGGGGGGGCCCAACCCCCCAAAAAGGTAAAAATCACGTGATTTTACATGATTTTTTTTCTCAAGGGGGGGGGGGGGGCCAGGGCCCCCCGGGCCCCCCCCCCCCTGGATCCGCCACTGGCTAGCAGTCCAGTGCAAAGCAAAGTTGATCGTATTTCTCCAACACAAGAGTGCTTGTGTGGGACTGTAATCTTGGTAACAAAATTCGATCCTTTCTCATTTTGTTAAATTCTTGCTCTAGAATACTCTCAAAATTCTTCTTTCCTGGTGTAAATAATCTACCCCTTATTCCCTATACTGTGGGTTTTACAGGAAGACAAATCTGGCGAAATTGCAAAGTAATGATTGAAATATGCGCCGTTCAGCTCAGCTCAGAGTCTCAGTGAAGATTTGAATTTGAAAATTACCGGTTGGCCTATTCGCCTTCTACCACTAGATGGCAGCACACATTTGGAAAAATGAAGGCCTTCGCGGTCTTCTTTAAAAGTGACTGCTTATCTTTGAAGGCTTATTTTCAGCGACTGCTTATCTTGAAGGCTTATTTTCTACTGACTGCTTAATAAGCAGTCAACATTTTTGGACTGCTTATATGAAAGTCTTTGAAGGCTTAGCTCTCGCAAACTAATGAGCAGTCGAAGACTAAAACAAGCCTTCGAAGGCTTATGAAGTCTTTGAAGGCTTTGTGAAGGCTTAGCGAAGGCTTATCGAAGGCTTATTAAGCAGTTTTCTTTGGTAAGGGTTACCACACAATGGACTGCAACAGAAATGGACTCTAATTTCCCAGTGATTGTTGTACTTTCGACTCATGTACCATTTGTAATTTAGAGCATTCTAGATCAAAAGATAAAAATTATTTAAAAAATCTTTTAATTGTGAAAAGGTGACACTAAACCAAATGGTTTAATCCCGTTTAGGTCCGCATGCTTCTAGAGTATGTGAGCATCCTCATCGGACTAATGCCAAGGAAACAAAGGATGAAGAAGGGCTGGAAGATCATGATCCTCAGACTCATGTTCATTGCAAACAGGATGGAAGAAGTAAGTAGAACCCAGCCAGGTCCTAGTCTATCAAACGGTCTTGGTCCGGGGGTGGCGTCGCTCAATGTTGACTTTGTGTACTTTGTCTTAGAAAGAAGGGCTGATTTATGGGAATTTTTGCCAAACTTTTAATGTTCAGAGATTTAAGATTTTACTAATATTTTATCCCATATGCATATCTGTGTTTATGCTTTTTGGTGATATGCAGGGCTCAAATTAATTTTTTGTCCACGGGGGCTCTTCCCCCCCAAAAAGAGCCCCCATGAGCCTTCTCACAGGGGCTCTTTTAGTACTGACGGGGGCTCTTGTTTATACAAATATCCATACAAGCTACATAGCTGTTACTGACTTTCATCCCCTGATGACATTCTCTCTCGATTTTTTTCCCGTTCTGCACATTATTTCCTCCTCATTATTCGGAGCAACCTTTACATTCTTTCTTTACTGAGCCACGTAGCGGCGAGGGCGATTTTGTGTGTGTGCTATTTTGGACAGATGCGGATCCATGGACCCCCCCCCCCCCCCCCCCCAGCCTCACGAACCGGTAAAAAATAGGATAGTAATGTACATTTTACCTTAAGAAATAAAATAGAAAACGCCCCCCCCCCTGACCTGCCAGTAACACAAATGCGGCATCAAAATATTTGTGCTTCTCTGACCGTAATTAAATGCCTAAAACCTCTGAACCCCCCCCCCCCCCACCAATTTACGCTCGCTACCCTCTACCTGATCGTAAATACTTTAGACCCCCATTTTGATAAACGTTCCGCGGGGCCTGTGTATAATATATAGGCATACAACACTGATCTTTATGATGTCTTTAACGTGGCTTATCTTCTTCTCCCCTTTCAAACGAGAAAGAAAACAAGGTCATTAAAAGGGATTAAGCGACAAATAATGATTGTGATTCAAATTGTGCGAATATTTGTTTGAATAAGCACTGCTATTCACCCGAATCTTCTTTGTAAAAACGACTTTTACAAATCTCTGCCATGCTTACTGAGTTGAGACGTTCCATTCAATGTAAAATACTCATTAAAGAATACATTTCTCCTAATCTGAAAGTGATCTTACAACACACTAGTGGCAGATTTGCATGGCTGTGATTTGTAAAAGTCGTTTTTTAAAGAAGATTCTGGTGAAAAGCATTGCTTATTCAAAAAAATCCTTGCAACAATTTGAATCACAATGATTATTTGTCGTATGATCCTTTTATTAAATAACCTTGTTTTCTTTTTTGTTTGCAGGGGGAGAAGAAGCTATGTCACGTTAAGAAATCATAGAGATCAGTTGTATTATGCGTATATACATATGATACCAGAACAAAATATTGATTATCAGAATGTCATTTTGGAATACCTCTATACAAATACTTTAGCTCGTATCAGTATTAGTATGAGCCAATATAAAGCTATTATTCTTTATTCAGTTCAGTATAATGATTTTCCTCAAGTATAGTTTTGCTATTTTTTTAGGGTTGAGACGCTAAGAAATGGTTTCAAATGTACATTACACAAACCCTGATCCATTGCAAAATGATGGTGGTTCCCTCTCTCTCTCTTTATTTTAATCATGCATTATCAACTACATTATAAAGCAGCAACCAAAAACTTAGGGTTATCTGAGATAGGTGAAAGTAAGAGTTAAAAAGAAAGTCATGCTAATACGGCGCTTCACCCCCCCCCCCCCCCTTGAAAAAATAAAATAGATTAGTAGTCCTCCTCTCCAGCATCCCCCCGCTTTAATATTCACTGGCCGGCTGAGTCGGCCAAAAATGTTCCCAAAAAACTGGACCCCCCGAAACAAATATATGTGCATTTATCCAGCCCCCTCACATGTGACGTCCTTTTAAGCACTGGCAGTGCCTTAAAAGGAGGTCACACGTTGCAGTCCACATTCTCATCGTGCAAATCTAAAAGTCCCTAATATTGATTTACTGGTCGTGGTTCATTATTTGCTGGTCATTTAAAATTACCAGATTTTAGCGGGTTTACGCTTTCACAACGAAAAACTTCTCCATGACCATGTTTCTGCCCTTGCGCGATCGCCTCCAGCTCCAGCAGACATGGCGCGGCAGCGTGCACATGTACCTAATGGCGCAGTAGGCCTATAACCACTGCTGACGGCGGCACTGCACTGCAAGCTGAATCGGTAATAATTAATAGGCCTACTCATAGAACGGGAAGTTCCGTTTCATTGGTTTAAGGTTTGAAAATTGAAACTAATTTTATTCCTGTTCACCATTCTTGTTATAGCTCCTGGAGAGTCATCATGGCAAGTCAGCCGGGTTTGTATGGAGGAGTCTTATGGCACTGCTTCACCAGGGTCAACTCTGTCTGAGGGACATCACGAGGACAGTACCACTCCTGCACAAGGGACTTGAGAATGTCAAGGGTCAAGGGTAAAAGGACACTGTTGGAGGAGACAAGCACTGTTTCACCAGGGTCACCTCTGCCTGAGGGACATCACAAGGACAGTACCACTCCTGCACAAGGGACTTCAGAATGTCAAGGGTCAAGGGTCAAAGGACACCATTGGAGGAGACAAGCACTGCTTCACCAGGGTCACCTCTGCCTGAGGAACATCACAAGGACAGTACCACTCCTGCAAAGGGACTTCAGAATGTCAAGGGTCAAGGTTCAAAGGAAACCATTGAAGGAGACAAGCACTGCTTCACCAAGGTCACCTCTGCCTGAGGGACATCACAAGGACAGTACCACTCCTGCACAAGGGACTTCAGAATGTCAAGGGTCAAGGGTCAAAGGACACCATTGGAGGAGACAAGCACTGCTTCACCAGGGTCATCTCTGCCTGAGGAACACCACAAGGACAGTACCACTCCTGCACAAGGGACTTCAGTATGTCAAGGGTCAAGGGTCAAAGGACACCATTGGAGGAGACAAGCACTGATTCACCAGGGTCACCTCTGCCTGAGGGACATCACAAGGACAGTACCACTCCTGCATGAGGGACTTCAGAATGCCAAGGGTCAAGGGTCAAAGGACACCATTGGAGGAGACAAGCACTGATTCACCAGGGTCACCTCTGCCTGAGGAACACCACAAGGACAGTACCACTCCTGCACAAGGGACTTCAGTATGTCAAGGGTCAAGGGTCAAAGGACACCATTGGAGGAGACAAGCACTGATTCACCAGGGTCACCTCTGCCCGAGGGACATCACAAGGACAGTACCACTCCTGCATGAGGGACTTCAGAATGCCAAGGGTCAAGGGTCAAAGGACACCATTGGAGGAGACAAGCACTGATTCACCAGGGTCACCTCTGCCTGAGGGACATCACAAGGACAGTACCACTCCTGCACGAGGGACTTCAGAATGTCAACGGTCAAGGGTCAAAGGACACCATTGGAGGAGACAAGCACTGCTTCACCAGGGTCAACTCTGTCTGAGGGACATCACAAGGACAGTACCACTCCTGCACGAGGGACTTCAGAATGCCAAGGGTCAAGGGTCAAAGGACACCATTGGAGGAGACAAGCACTGCTTCACCAGGGTCAACTCTGTCTGAGGGACATCACAAGGACAGTACCACTCCTGCACAGGGACTTCAGAATGTCAAGGGTCAAAGGACACCATTGGAGGAGACAAGCACTGCTTCACCAGGGTCAACTCTGTCTGAGGGACATCACAAGGACAGTACCACTCCTGCATGAGGGACTTCAGAATGTCAAGGGTCAAGGGTCAAAGGACACCATTGGAGGAGACAAGCACTGCTTCACCAGGGTCAACTCTGTCTGAGGGACATCACAAGGACAGTACCACTCCTGCACAAGGGACTTCAGAATGTCAAGGGTCAAAGGACACCGTTGGAGGAGACAAGCAGAAGTCTGGACCATCATTGGTGTAAACAAAAGAGCATTTCAGAAGGAATTCAATGAGGACAGTACACAAAGAGAAATGCTTATCCTGATCCAAAGACTTTTGGAGATCAATTGATGAATTTCAAAGGACAATGTGCGAGCCATTACAAAAATTAATATTTTTTGTCAATCCATTTTGGAAGAACTTGAAAGAAAGTACTGTTCCTACATCTAGAACAGGGACTCTAGTAATGTCTTTAGGATGGAGGAGAAGTCTATAAAGACAACATCTTCTTGCCACCATGGAAATGGTTCAGTGAGGACACCATGAAGACAGAGCCATTCTTTTGCCAGAGACTTAAGGATATCATGGGTCAAAGGTCGATGATTGAGTAATGTATAAAGCACATGTATAGACTCTAGACTAATATTACGATGAACTGTTTCTTGTCAATAGAACTCAAAAGGAAAATCTGTTGCTTCTATGTGGCCTGACAATGTGTAGTCAAAATTCAATATGCTTATAAAGCAAATATGACACTTCCTTTTCAATTCTTGCCTGAAGGAGTACTTTAAACTATTTGCTGCAAAGACTGGATGTAGTAGGGTTGAACATGTGCAATCGGGATATGATGCACAAGTCTGTTCTTAAATTCATGTCTTTCAGTATTCTATATTTGTGTAGTTAAGAACTTACGTGTATGTGTTAAAAATGGACTTTAAATTACATGAAAGGTATTACAAAGTTTTGGTATGGGGTCATGAATTCGGTTCAAATAAACATATTTGAAGCAAATGCGATCGTACAATATTCAGTGATCATTGTCACGGTTGAAATCGAGACTAAAGTGATGAAATTGTAAATATTAGACTCTTTTCGTTTTATAGCTCCCTCTCAAGGTCAAGATATTAATTTAGCTATGAAACAATGTTTTTTGAATAAAATTGACCGATTAGCTATTCCTGTTTGAAAATTATATATCCCAACTACATATTCTGAGATTTTCATGATCGCAGCTACCGTTGTGTGGCCGTATTAGGCGCTATTTGAAAATTATTGAAATTTACCGGGTTTGATATTCAATTTTTCTCGGAAGCAAAAGTGTTTTAGGGGCTAATTTTTTTAGTGCATATAATACATCCACAGGGGCATCCAAATATTTCAAAATGGTAAAGAATCTTTATCCAGCCAATTTTCAAAAGTTCCCAAACCTTTGTACATGTATTACCTTTAACAAACTAGTTTTGATAAGTGTTAAGATTTTGCCAAGAACATGTGGTATGGAAATTATTAGTGTAATTGGTGATTGTATCAAAGAAACCCATTACATATTAGGCCCTGTCTACAGTCCAGCTATCCCTAAATGGTTAAAGCTGAGTTTCATTTTTGAACAATATCCTGATCACATATATAATTTGTTTTCACATATGTGATATAAGTCTTTTTTCCTTCAAAGTACATGCATCTTTATAGCTAATCTTGAGCTCTGGTATGGTAATCGTATTTTGAGAGAAAATTGCTATGATTTATTCTGGATTGTTTCCTGCAGTAGATTGGTTGTTTGCTCCAGTGAAACAAAAATAAATGCGGACAAACTTACTGGGAATCATCTTCGATGGCACGTCCCTGTTTTTCAGTACATTTTTGGCGAATTTAGGGCTGATTTTAACATTTTTGGGGGGGACGGGGGGGGGGGGGCACGTGCCTCCCCCCCCCCCCCCCCCCCCCCCCCCCCCCCTCTGGATCCGCCACTGATATTGGTATCAGTGTATGTGATAAACATTTCTTGTGAAAGTTTAATGACTGATCATCCAGCACTATAATGCAACTCTTTAAAAATATACACTGCAACAACTCTACATGTATATTTAAAACGAATCAGACACTGCACTTCAGATATGCAGATAGACCTATATCTTTATGTATGATATTTATTTTAATAAAATAAATTTTATTTTGCAAAAAATTATTTTTGTTTCTGGTTTTGATATGTTTTGTTAAAAACTGTATAACTTTCCTTAGGAGGCCATAGATCATTAATGTTGCCTTACAGCGTAAATAATAAATTTTACCCCAGGGTTGACGTGTCTTCAGTGGCATTTTAAATCAACTATGATTATTATTTTAATTTTAACCCATAGCAGTACAGTGTCTCCTCAGGGCGTTTCTTCTTCTTCTCCTTCTTCTTCTTCTCCTTCTTCTTCTCCTTCTTCTTCTTCTTCTTCTTCTTCTTCTTTTCTTCTTCTTCTTCTCCTTCTCCTTCTCCTTCTCCTTCTCCTTCTTCTTCTTCTTCATTCTTCTTCTTCTTCTTTTTCTTCTTCTTCTTCTTCTTCGTTTTTTCTGGTCTTTTATATTTTCCCGTTTCTATATGGGTAACTTGTTATTAGAAGTTTGTATTTTTTCCTTTCAGATAATCAACAAAACCAAAAAAAATGTGAAATATATTTCTCCAATAACCAGCCGCGGTATTAACAACCAGGTATAACTTCTTTAGAATTGTAAATCATTGCAATAATCATTACTTAATTGTTAGATCGAAAATACATTTCTATTGCATTACACTAATTCTAAAGTACTAATTAAAACAACACTTTATAAAGAAATGCTTTACAATTACGCCTACAGCCTAAAACCCAAACTTGATAACCAAGGTCGAGTCTTCGTTTGACTACATGATCAGCATGCACTTTTTCATAGCGCATGATGACTTAATTTGTTTTGGTTTTGACTTCTTGGTCTCTTTTCAGATGTAATTATTCATTCCTGCGATATAGCTTCCTTTTATTTTTTCCGGCTAGATGATTTTGTGCTTGACACTGGCGATTTAAATTATTTTAGCTCTTGAGTAGAGACTAAACAATGACATCATTGCCTAATACGTGCACCCACTGTGTTATGATTGCAACATGGCCTGTAACGAGAGCAGACGAACTATATATAATGATGTGTTTTTTAAGCATGTATTTAACGGCCTGGGTAAATTGGTCGAATCAGACGGTGATTGTGCAAGGCTTGGAAGGTCGAAGGAGGCACATAGGATCTGTCATCCATATTTCATGTAAGTCTATTGAAAATTATTGAATGCTTTCTGAGTGGAGGCTGCAGCTCTGAGCTAACTCCAGGGAGCTCCGACGCCGACGCCAAAGGCGTCGGAGCTCCAGAGCTCAGAGCTCTATGAAAACGATTCAAACAGCGGGTTGTACCTTGGCCATTGCATGGGTCACATTTTTTCGAAATGTAAAGAGGTAGTAATTACAATTTTGACTTAGAGTCTACAATGTTTTGGGGCATCTTTCCATCTTTCCAACCATTTGAAATTATAATTGAAGAAGTCTTTGGAAAAAGGGTGATTCATATATTCTTTGAGGGGGGGGGGGGACGAAATGCGAGGGATGAGGGTTGGCAGGGTTATGAATATAAATGTCAAGACATTTTTCAGACTTAACCTCTCGATTTAATTGTTCTGAATCTACCAAGTCAAGTGTACATAAGATTCAGTATTTCCAGTCAATGCATGTACTGAATTCTCTCATCCCATAGGTACACCTGGCATGGGAAGTGTTTCACAAATGTAAGATCCGACTTAAAGTTGGACTTTATAAATATGGCAGGCCATTCATGCCACTATTTGCTCTCACCATTATGATCTTTAGAAGAAAAAAATATAAATTCTGTAGATTTGTGACCATGATTTATACGTCCCTTGAGAGACAAGTGCCAGTAAATAGTGAGAGCAAATGGTGGCATGAACGACCTGCCATAGTTACATGTAAGTCCAACTTAAAGTTGATCTTAGTCTTTATGAAGCACTCCCAAAGGTTCTCTTAGGCAATGGGTTAACTTGCTTATCATGGGTTAAAGTTTATAGGCCTCTTCATAATATATTTCTTTTTATTACACAGTACAACAGAAGATCAGCCAAGATGGCAGCAAGCCTCGGGAGAAAGAAGTGCATGACTCGCAGTGGGAAGACCCTGCGATACATCCAAAGTCAAGCTACCTGTGGCAATATGTCTGCCTTCAATGGGCAGTATGCCATCGTCAAAGCGAAGACTGGATTATTCAATGCCAGCCATTCAATGGATTTTGAGGAGATTGTTCAAGATGGTGGATTGGAGTCTAATTCAGGTGCGTATTATTTCTGGGGTCTTTTCATTTTTTAAAGTTATTCCTGTTTATTAAATTTGTGGGTTTTCCTTTTGTCATCCTTGAAATTCTTCTTCTTCTTCTTCAAGATAATCTGCCTCCTTCAATACTGAAGATTCTTGCAGATGCCGTATACTCGGCCTGGTTGGGGTATGCAGGTGGACCATTACACCGGGGTTTCCTTCTACTCTCATACAAATAGTGCAATGGGTTCTTAACGTGCAAGGGTGGTGACTCTCCTGTACACGGGGCCTCCATTTAACATCCTATCCGAGGGATGGAGTGTTTTCCTCTTGACATAACCTGCATCTATGAACAAGGGAAGGGGCCCATTAACACACAACGCTGGCTTCAGTCATCCGCCTGGGTGGGAGTCGAACCCGGGATCTTTGGACGCTTTACCATCTGAGCCAACTCGCCTCCTATTGCCTGAGCTTCAGTGTTAAATTTGTTACCCGTTATATAATTAAGTCTTTGAAAATGAAAATCACCCATATTTCTCACTTATGTGTTCTCAGATATTGGTGATTTTTATATAGAGCCGGTCCTGTACTCTTTGAATAAGAAAAAGAGATGGTTGTTACCAGCCATGATTGCTGAGGGCATTGCTGACAGGGAATTCCACAAGGACTGTGATTACCAAGTCATCATGGTGGAGCGGGAGATACCCTGCTCCAAGGACAGTTGCAAGTTGGTCAGATGTCATCACAAGAGAGGAA